GTCCCAGCTACTCGGGAGGCTGAGGCAGTAGGATCGCTTGAGCCCAGGAGTTTGAGGTTGCCGTGAGCTAGGCTGATGCCACGGCACTCACTCTAGCCCGGGCAAAAGAATGAGACTCTGTCTCAAAAAAAAAAAAGAAGTGAGAAACAACCACTGTCACTTCCTCATCATGTGGTCTGGGGCTCAGCCTGGGAGGGAAGGGTACACAGTTCTACATCTGGCAGCAGCTGCCCTCTTCCTCTCACACAGATTAAGAATTTTAGAGCAAGAATAGACCATAGCTCACCTCATTTAACCCTCTCATTCAATAGATCGGGAAAGACAGTAAAGTGGCTTATCCAAAGTTACCCAGCAAGTAGCAGCTGGCAAATTTATTAACTGGTGAGGACCCAGCACTTATGTTTCACTATTTGCACATATCTCATTTAACACCCTCATTTTACAGATGAGGGAATGAGGCTGATAGGTAACTCCTCCAAGGCCCCATAACTAGTGAGTTGGCAGAGCCAGCCAAGATCTTCCCATGCCAACATGCCCTTTCGACTAGACCACAGGAGGAGTGGAGGGCTCCCTGTTACCTCAGGAAGTCCAATGTCTGCCCAGGCTGTCCTCTGCCCCAGTGAAAGCAGTGAGCATGAGTCAGCCCCCCTGAGAAGCTGTTATCAAGGAAGAGAGTAGGGGAGCTGGTCAAATATCCTGCCGCCTGGTATCCACAACAAGCCATGAGTCCTATGTGTGCTGAGTTGCTTGGTCACCCCTCTTCCTGTTGGCTGAGCAAGTGCCCTCCTCAGAAGCAGCTGCCCTAGTAATCGCTCCTCCCTTTCATTTCAAAAAAATAGAATCTTTCCTCCTCTGCTGCTGTAACCTGCCTCTTAAAGGGACCGACAGCAGTTCTGAAGGCAAATTCGAGAGATGGCAAAGGACCTTGCTGACCCCAAGAGGTCCTTGCTGTTAAGTAGGTTTCCAGCTGTGGGCTCTTTCCCTGAGACATCCTCTTTCTCCCCTCCTCAGCTTCTTCCTGTCCCCCAACTGGGGGCAGGATGAAACTTCCCTGGGATGTCAGGTTCCCACATATTCTCCTTTCAGGGTGACTCCACAGCTTGGCTTCTTGCACCTGTTTCCACAGGAGCCTGAATCTTGTGGCTACCCGTTGTTAAGGGAATGCCGAGGACAGAGGGACCCAGGAGTCCTTGGAATCA